CTCCCTCACAGGTGGTCTGTCACCAAGCCTATGATCCCATTTACTTCACCGTCTCCTCCCGCAGCGTCCTTCCTAGCTTCTAGAGAGCTGGGCATCACTGTACACACAGCCTAATGCCTGGTGCTGGGCACCTCATCCCCAGTGCTGAGGGTTCAGGGAAGGACTCGCGCCCTGACCTGGAGGCCAGGGAGGCATGGGCAATCTATAGGTTTCAGCAGCAGAGAAGGCTACCTGCTGCTTCCAGAAGACGTGCAAGAGAGATGCAGGGAGGTGGGTGTGACCCTTTGCCGTGTCAAAAAGTCTGACACTACTAAATAGTTTACAAAGGCCAAAGCCATCACAAATGGCTGGTGAATCGGGGATCTGAGTGGGGAGGAAGAATGCAGACAGGCAATCTTCCGGATTATTAAAGGAAGCCAGGGAGCGGGAGCGCAGGTCTGCTTTAAATAGGGGAAATGTAAACCACGGGTGCTGCCTCCCCAGGCTTCCTGTGCAGCTGGGGCAGGAGGAGACCACGGGGTGCCAGGGGGTGCTGAAGGGCCACAGCCGCGAGGCCTATGAAGGGCGATACCAGGGCCGTTCGGAGGGGCGTGGCTTTGTGTCAGACCTGGCTTTGAATCTGAGCTCGGTGCCCAGCCTTTCGTGTGGCTTTGGGCATGTCACTCTTCAATCCCCACTTGCACATCCCTAAAATAGGGACAATAATGTGGTTGTGGTAAGGACCATGTAGGTCACAGTGAAAGTGTCCAGTGGGTTTCTGACTCTGATGACATGTTTGGTTAGTGCTGGTTTAAGTTTATGATTAGTATCTTCACTCTTGTGACCCTGTTTCTCCACCTGTATGTGCCTGGCACATAGTGGATGCTCAATAAAGGTTTATTTTTATTTTTTAAGTTTAAAAATTTTTTATTTTGAAACGATTTTGAAGGTGTAGAAACACTGGAGTTCCTCTATATGCTACATCAAGGGTCTCCTGATATTAACACCGTGCATAATCACAGAACAATGATCAAAACCAGGAAGTCAGTGTTGCACAATGTGATGCCACTAACTAGACTGGACCATCCTGGAACTCCCCCCCTTTTCTGTTTCAGATTCTACAGCTGGGTCCCATGTTCCCTCGGATTCTCCCATTTGTGGTAGTTCCTCAGTTTCTGTCTTTTGTGACCTTGACACTTCTGATGATACTGGTCGTTTATTTGGAAGAAACACTTCTCGGGTTGGGTTCCCTTGATGTTTTCTCATGATTAGATTGAGGTGGTGCACTTTGGGTATATACTACAGCTGCAATGTTGGGTAACTGTTTTTTTTTCTTTTTTCTTTGTTGTGGTAAGATACCCATGACATAACATTTACCATTTAAACCATTTTAAAGTGTACAATTCAGTGGCATTTAGTACATTCAGTGTTGTAACTGCCATTTCCAACTAGTTTCAGAATGCTTCTGTCACTCCCAAGAGAAACCCCCTACTTTGCCCATTCACCCCACCGTGGCCCCTGGGCAACCACCAATCTATTTTCTGTCTCTACAGGACTGCCTATTTTCTGGACATTTCATACAAGTGGAATCATACAATATGGTCTTTCCTGACTGGCTTCCTTCACTCAGTATCCTATTTTTGAGGTTCATGGGGGTCTTTCATGAATAAGTCTTTCATTCCTTTATTTTTTATTTTTTATTATTTTTATTTTGGTATTATTAATCTATGATTACATGAGGAACATTATGTTTACTAGACTCCCCCCTTCACCAAGTCCCCCCCACATACCCCATTACAGTCACTGTCCATCAGTATAGTAAGATGC